CTATATTGGATTTACTGATAAAAACTTTGTTTTTAAAAGAATCATTTTTTTATTCAGCTCTTGGCTCGGTTCCGCCTGTGACCCATTAGAACCCAAACCTCTGACCTTCTTTTTAAAAGTCTTCTTGAAAAGCTCTGACCCGGTTTGTGTTTTGGACCAGGTCGGACCCTCAGTCAGGAGGAGCGGAAAGACGAGGACTTGAGCCGGAAAGAGGACTCCTTCTCCATGGTGGACAGCGACCTGGACTACAGTTCTGACGAAAACCCGGTCTCCCTGAGCCACAAGGAGGACCTGGAGGGCGGCGGCGGGGTCCTGGAGGAGGGCCCGGCTACCACCGGCTCCTCGGGGGGGCCCTCCGGGTCCTCCGCGACCTCCGGGTCCGGAAAGAACCGGCGCAGACGGACGGCCTTCACGAGCGAGCAGCTGCTGGAGCTGGAGAAGGAGTTCCACTGTAAGAAGTACCTGTCGCTCACCGAGAGGTCCCACATCGCGCACGCGCTCAAACTCAGCGAGGTCCAGGTCAAGATCTGGTTTCAGAACCGGCGCGCCAAGTGGAAGCGGGTCAAGGCCGGGAACGTCAACAACAAGTCCGGGGAGCCCAGCAGGAACCCCAAGATCGTGGTTCCGATCCCTGTCCACGTCAGCCGGCTCGCTATCCGGAGCCAGCACCAGCAGATGGAGCAGAACCGGCCCTGAACCGGMACCGGACTCGGGTCGTCAGAGTCCAGGCACAGCCAGAACCGAAACTTTCCGACTTTTTATCAGAACCGGTCAGCGAGCAGCTGATTTTATTTATGGGTCAGAACATTCGGGTCCGGTCCAATCGGAACCGGRTGCATTTTTAAAGGACTTCAGATTTCTTTACAGGAACTTTAAAAAAAGGTCCGACCCGCGGGCGTCAGACCAGAACCGACAGGGACTGGGTCGGAACCTGCGCGTGAAGACACCGGGTGTAAATAAATCTCCGTCCGGACCGGACCGGACCGAACCGGACCAGGGGAAGAACCGCTGAGTTTCTGTTTATTTATTTCTGTCAAATTCTGATTATTAAAGAAGGAAGGAGCCGATTTTACCTGACTTTATTTATTTATGTTTGTTTATTTCTGAACGTCAAACAATATTATTA